TAATCCAATGCTTAACTATGTCCTACTTATAGGTCGTTATTATATATTTAAGTGCAAGTTACAAAACATTATGCCAAACATTGTAGGTTTCAAATCCTGTGTAAAACAAACCATTGATCTGGAAAGTATCATTGCGAAAGCTCAGAACAAAAGAACAAAGTTTCTAAAGAAGTGGGGGCCTTTTATTGAATATTATGATCTGTAAATGTTTTTCTGTTATTATTGTTTTGTCTGTAATTTTTGCATAATGAATAAAAAAAAAAAAAAAAAAAATGTACTCTTCTTTTGACCATAGCAATGAATCAAGGTACGTGCCATGTATGATTCATTGTTGAACACAAAGAATGTGCAAAGTGAGGGAGATAGACATGCACAGTTGTCTTTATGTATGCAAATCGCCATGGTAATACATCTGGACAAAGTGATCTGAAAAATCACTCTTTCTAATGATAAAATTGTGAGTATCTTAGTTGTCAATATTTAAGCGTTATTCTCACCTAACACGTTTTAAACAGCCATACAAAATTTCAAAATGAACGTCAATGATAGATATATATTTAAATCAAAGTGTTAATTCAAACAAAAATGTCCCCTCAAGGTAGACAATGTCAGTATACAGGATTAAACTATGGCGGGAGATTCAAATTACAGTTCACATAGAAAGGTGCAATCCTCTGCATTTGTTGTTGGGCAAACACAAAAATAAAGATAGTTAAACTGATCTTGCCCTTTGTTGTATAATATTATTTCCTTTATCATAGTTTGTTTCAATATGAATATGCATTGTCATAATTTGAGAAATGTGAACTGACTGAAGACTGTAGGCAGTAAACAAACTAACTCAATCTTACGAAACATAACTAACTAGGTTACAGTACAGTAAAAATACATTGACTGAAAAAAGGATAATACTTGACTGTTATATATATCTTTTCACATACATGTCATCATACAATGAATATAATGAGGCAGTTCATATTTGTCTCAGTAAATCATATCTGTACCAAATATTTGCTAAATCAGCTAAGATTTATATTTTTTGGTTATCTAGCATGTTTTACGATTCTGTTCACATCTATAAGCAGCATTTTTTTTCTGAGATGAGGCATTTATTTTCATACCAAAATATTTGAATTACTCTGAAAATATTAATACAGAAGTACAATTGATGTTCAAATATTACTGATTTGATTTAACCTAAATAATTTTAAAACAGACAGAAGAATCATACTAAATTATAGTAAAACTATCAACAACAAAATACTGCACGCACAGTTCATCAAAACCATTGCTCTTTAAAAATGAACTATGTCAAACACACAATTTTGAGTTCCTCTCAACAGTGGATGCAACGTTGTGTATTTTTGCATTATATTTTGTTTTGACAACTTTAGACTAAACAAAAGTTTGGCAACCAAAGGATTTTTCATAAGAGCTTATATCGATTATCTGACATGTTTTCTGTTAAGATAGTTTATGTATTTTAGAAACAGTCAAAAAGTTTTATCAGATTTTAACTACTACTTTCTCAACTTTTGCATGATATTTTTACACCAGACATCCGTCGTCCGCACTAAAGGAAGATTTTATACTGATGAATTAGGTGACCATATTTGATACAGTTTGGAATAGAATTTATTGTATACACATTAACAATTATTAACTACGATGACGACAACGACAACGACACCACCAGACATTTTTCCCCTAAGATACCTTTCCATTCATTATTTGCGATACGGGGAAGGTAACAAAAACTCGAGTTATGATCATGCATTGCTTACCTTGGTCGATGACTATCTGTGATTGGATGTTGAATCCAACGACAAAATACCCATTTGTGTTTGTATTAAATGCATTCAAATCAACCGTTATCAACGATATACCACTTTCATTGAATATCACAAGAATGTATCCATCTACAGAATGAAAAGATGTCATGATAAATCTTGTCAATAATTGGTTCTTTCATGTAACCTCGCCAAGAACACTTTATTTTATCTATGAATGTAAACTTGTTACCTCCATCCTTTGCCACTGGCTAACGTTCAAATTCAAAAATACTGAATATATTGGTTATGTACACATTGCTCTCAGTACCTATACTGCATAAATCACTGAGGAGTTGATTTATTAGTTCAGCCATTGTACTCACCAAGTGATGTTGATCCATAACCACCATCCCAAAGTTCAATGTACTGTTCATCTTCTGTAAGACTGAACTCATTAATCACCAGGGTGATATTCGTAATGATGGGGCAGATATTTGGTAGTTTAGGAGATAGATGGGAGACTGTCATAAACACATCACCGTTACCATAGTGACAGCGATTAATAGACTCGTCATCCTCAAGAAATCTTCTATCTTCAATCACCTGTTCTCCACCTGGGGTTAACACATTTATAAGTTGCTGAGCTGCAGGATCATCATCTGTTGCCATGACTACAGCATCAATCAGACTGACATTGGTAGCTAAAGTCCCAGTTTGAAATTCAGATTCTGGTGCCCAGTATAGTGCCACAGCACTTGGACCATTTTTAATGAAACCAGAAGATGCTCGTTCATATATCAGGTCAGGTGGGCCAGCAACACCAGCTGGGCCAATCAGAAAGAGAGCATTGTTATCTGTGTAGTATTCATTTATGCCGATTACGCGATATGACACATCAGTATTGCCATTATATAATACCTATTAGATAAAAAAAAAAAAAATTTGTATACATGTTTGTAAATATATTGTTATATAAAATCCTTTGAACTCCTCACAATTAGAATTTGGCACTTATTGTTATATTCAGATTTTGTTATTTAGCAAGTTTATTTTATTTAAAGCTTCATTGAATATATAGCCCTAAGTGAAATGTAGAGTAACATTATTTTCTACAGTGTCAAACACTATTTGTTTCCATTCTGTTCTATTCTAAATAAGATACAAGATAAACTGGCAAACATTTACAACTAAATTACATGCTTCAAAATACTGTCAATCATTAATAAGAGGATTTTTGGACATTGCATATCTTTATGTATTTTTCTATGATTCCTTTGAAAATACAAAAAAAAATGTTGAAATGGACATTGTGGAGTATGATACAGCAAGCAAAAATATGCAGCTAATATATAAACCTTGAAATGACCTTGACCTGAAATTCAACATTTTTTAAGGAGATGCAGTTTATTTGTGAATTTCAATCAAAAATAGTTTTTTTCGTTTTTTATATAGATTTTTATCTAAAGAACATTCTGTGAAAATTTGACCAATGAATTCTTATTGGAACACCGTTAAAATTGCTGTTTATTTTCTGGTTAAAAATAAAAAACACTCACACGTGGCAATGTTTATGTCCAATTTGCACGAGTAACCAAATAACAGGACCTTTGATTGACAATATGCAAATCGAAATTGTACGCGTCATAGTTCATTCAATTCACGCGCATGTGCAATTATTCTCAAATCAGTTCTCGCTCGCTAGCAAACCAAACATTATATTTCCTCAGCATTTTTTTCCTAATTTTTATCAATACATTATGCGTGGTGTGAAAAGAAAGAGAGGTAGAAAGAAGATTCAGATGATTTCTATGTCTGAAGAGGCAAAAGCTACACTGAAGGCATCAGCCCACCGAACGAAAAACAAAATCGATGTGAGCGTCCAAACATGGCTTTCCCTGAAGACATGAATCCGAGTTTCTGATTGACTGAGAGATTTTATTTTTAAATAATTGTTCTCAAAAAATAAACTGAGCATGTGAAGAATAATTTAACATTGTTTACAGTGATAACTGCTCATTGTCGAAACGAAGCTTACCCATTCACGCTAGTCACAATAAACATCATACTCTTGAATAGGCGTCAATGACTACGGTAAAACTTAGAAAATGACGCCAAATACACCTTTAAAAGTCCCATTTTATTTTTTT